GCTTTAGTTCATTTTCACAAAAAAGCGTAATGCCTCGCAGAAAAGCAAACTTAGGGCGTCGTACTCGTAGCGCCATCTGTTGGACATAAAAGCCTTAACCTAGATTATATCTTTTAATTTATATGAATGTTTAACGGAATAATATACAACCTATGTCCACCCTGAAGTTCCATTCTAAATATTGGTGAAAGAATTTTTGAAATCGGATGAGTAGTTTCGGAGATTACCCGCTACATCCAAACTTACTTACAAACATTACCTCTTTATAATATTAGTATAGATGAATATTTCTGTATTAACTACTTGTAAAACTACAAAACTGCTTGTTCATTAAAGAATTAGCTTTTCAAATTTTTGGAACTAAAAATTTATTTGTGTAATTATTGTTAAACTTATTTTTCAATAAACTACAAAGTGCATACCAGAATTTTGTACTGTTTCCCTCTAGCGGGACAGCAAACTATGTAAGCATGCCCTCTCAAGACAAATTTGAACAAGCCTTTGCCAGTTGACTTTTGAACTTCCATTAGTGTGCCATCAGCAGGTGAAGAATAGTTCACATTTTTCATAAACTTGTTTCCGTGTGTGCCCAAAAGCATGGTGTTTTCAGTTCATTAGTAGCGTGCTGTCATCAAATTTTTGTTCACTTGTGGTAAAAAAAGCAGCCAATATTCACAAGCAGTTAATGGATGTGTACAGGGAGTCTGCTCTTGCTGACTGCAGTTCGCAAGTGAGCTTGAAAATTTGCAGGTGGGAGAAACTCTACCAAAGATGAACAACACTTCGGTCACCTTGCTGTTGCAACATCTGAAAATTGACATGATTATTGGTCAGTATGCAAAACATTTGCTGCCTGTAATTCAAGAACGGTGTCCCAATTTTGCCAGCAAAAATTTTGTCTTGCATGAAACAATGCTCTGCTCCAGAGCTCAAACTGTCCAAGATTTTCTGATAGAAAAGGTCATCAAAATCTTGCCACATTCTCTGCACTCACCAGATCTGGCTCTGAGCAACTTCTGGTTGTTTGAAAACCTAAAGGAGTCACTGTGTGATATGCATTGTTCGTCAATTTCTGCTCTTGGTAGTGCAATTTTCCAGTGAGTTCTGAAGGACTCCAGAAAACGAGTTCGCACAGTGCATTGATAAGTGGTTAAAGAGATACCAAGTGTCTTGACAAAGACAGAAATTGTGTTCAAAAGCAACATCAAAAGTTTTCATCAAAACAGACTGCTTTAGAATTTATGGATAAACACTATACAATTCTGGTATGAACCTCATACAATAAGAAACCTTTACTTTGAGATACAGTATGATGACTTAGTTATTTTCTATTAGATATTTCTACATAGGCAATACTTTCTTGGTGCAATACTGTTATATTCTTTTTTAATTTTGGACAAACAAACAAATTCAATTAAACATTTTTTACATAACATTAAGTATTAATTTTTAAACTGAAATGAATATGTTTAATGAGTTTTTCATATTTCATATTATATAATTTATACTTACATTGCAGAATATTCAAATAAGCCATAATATGGATTAAACATTTCCTTAGACAAAAGAAAAAACCATTCTCTGGATGCTCCACCATAATCCAGAACTTCTTCGCCGTCAAATTCTATCCATAATTTAGTTCTAAGGAGATCAACTTGTGACACACCACAGATAATTCGATAGGAATCTTCCAAAATGTTGTTTCTACAGACATTCATCACAAATTTGTTAGGCACATTGGACTAGAATGGAAAATAAATTACACAAAATTAAAGATATAATTTTAAACTATTAATATGAAGATTATTATATCTAATTAATAAGCTACATATAAGGAGGACAATTATGTTAAAAACAAAGTTAATAAAAACAAATTCCTTCAATACTTTCTGAATAATTACACCTAATACAGTCAAATTTATACACAATATAATAAACTTTTATAAAAAAAACTTCTAATATTTATCTAACCACCTAAAAGGGGATTTTTTTTGGACTAAGAAACAAATTGTTATGTCCTTCTAATATGACTTTTTACTGGAGTTCAAAAATTACTTTGTCATAGATGGTACCTATTGTAAAATAGGTACCATCTATGACAAAGACCACACCAAGTATTCATAATCAACTTAAACTACTCTAAAATTTCACTAAACCAATCATCCCTCATCACATAACATCTTTTTATTTCTGTATATGACATCATTCCACACGCCATCAATTATCATCCTGCTGTTTAAATTAATTAAGTCACTATTATTTTTAATTGCTATATGTTCTTTAAATCTTCTTAAATATATATCTTTTTCTCTCAATAGGATTTTATTGTTATTTTTATTAAGAATAAAACACACCTTTAATAATCCAGCTAATAAAAATTAATAAAGTAAAAACGTTTTTGATCGTTTCTTTACAATCTTCTTCAGTTACCATAACATAGAATAAAATCGAACACAAAAAAGAACATAAATATGAAATTAAAATATAAATAACGTAATATAAGAACATAAACACGAAATTAAAATATAAATAACAGAAAAGTAGCTGCGATGATAAAATAAATGAAAAATATAAATTAAGCCGAAAAAATGTCCTTTAACAAAAATTAAAATAAATAAAGCCATTAACTCTTGTAAAAGGATTGCCATGTGGTAGGTAAAGAGTCCGCATCCCTATGGTTGATGCAAACAGTTTTCTTGTGTGCCTTAAAGATCTCTAATTTCTCTAGATATTTCATTGTGTGTAAATCTGTCGTAGGTTTAATTATTTCCGCCCGATCCCAATGGACTTGAATGTCGTGTTGTGTTGCGTAAGCTGATAGCATGTGTTGTCAAGTTTCTTATTAATCGTATATTTATGCTCTTTGATATGTTGCTGCAAGTTGTGCGTTGTTGTGCCCACGTAGACAAGATCCGAATTAAAACGCTGATTGTGTAATGGTATAGAATAGATCCCTAATGCCGATTTCCAGTCATAATGCTTCTTATCGTTTCTTAATAGCTTGAAAACTATAGGATTGCATCAATATATCACTCAGAAATTATTAGCCCTGGCCGTTTCTTTATGTATTTGTCTCAAAAACAGGGCATAATTTAAAACAATCCTTTGTCTACGGTTAGTTGTTTGGAAGGTTGTGACAAGTTTCTCTATGATTTCCTTTCGGTATTTTTGTTGTTCTGCAATCCTTAGAATATAGTTTAGCTCCGCTATCGTGTCTTTTATACTTGTACAATGTGTATAAGCCCTTTTTATCCAGGACCTAAAGGCCGCCAATTTGATGTGATGCAGATAGATCAAATTATGAAATAAAGTGGGTTGAAAGCATGGTTTCCTATATATGTTGGTCCTGATCTCTCCTTATTAGCTGGATTATTAAAGGTGTGTTTTATTCATGGTATATTTATCCAGTTAGTTCATTATATAAGTATTTTTATTAATTTTACAATTATCACCATTATAGTGAATAAACAAAGGTGATTGGGTATTTTTTACTCTGATTGATGCATCATGTTCCTTTATCAATGTGCAAATAGTATTCATTATATTGGAGAAACAGGAAAAATGTTGGAAAAAAAACGTAAAAGAAATGCATATAAATAAAACATTTGGAAATTAAAAATTGCTCATGAATAATTCTTGAACTACAGTAAAAAGTTGAATTAGAAGGACATAACAATTTGTTTATTACTCCAAAAAACCCTCTTTTGGTTAGATAAGTAACTAATTAAGTCGGCTAATATTGTTAAATTCATCTGGTTAATAAATTTATAAAATAAATCTTAAATTCTTAAGTAAAGTTGCATGTAAATTATCTTCCATTTAAAAAAACAAACTTTATTTTACAAATTTTTTCCAACAATATTGTTCCTTAATATTTTAAAATAGAGAAAAGAAAGCATTATAATTAATTTGACCAGTGTTAACATTTTTCTATAATGAAAGGAAAGTGGTAAAAATTTTTGCCATTTTTCTTTGATAGTGTTTATAGTGATTTTTAAATTCAGATTCAATATTTAATGTTTATTATATTTTCTGCGTGTTTCCAATTGATTTTTTTTTCCTTAATATGTTATAAGTAACAAATGGTATGTATAATGTAAATCTGTATAAGATAATTTTTATTTAATTTACACTTTCAGACAGTTTTAACAATGTTCATTATATGTGAGAAACTAAAACACTGCAAGAGAAATTGGTTGTAAATACTGAAATTTGCATGATTTACAGTTAGTAAGTAAATAGAGGCAGTAACTAATGACACTATCTGAACTGATCATCAATTCATTGATATAATACTTGCTACATACAAAATTTGTCATTTCTAGTTGCTGATGTTCATTGTAGATTGCACTATTGTGCATGCATTGGTAATATCTGCTATGTTCTCCATAAATTTACTCTGGCAAGTTTGTATGAAATTGCAACCTGCTAAGTGCCGGATGTTTATCATAAGGAAACAGTGTTTTGCTTCTCCCGTAAAATTCAGTTTTTGCCCCATACTAGATATTGCATTTACACCTATGAATTGTGAGTTGATGCCATTAAGTATATACTACATTGCAAAATTTTTCCTTTCAAGACTTATAGTGATTTCTATAATTTGATTTTTCTTTGTTCTAGCAATTTTTAAAATGAATGTGATCAAAGAACAATGTGTTGATGTGAAATTTTGTTTTAAATTTGGAAAAAAAGAAACAGAGACACTTCAACTTTTGAAAACAGCTTTTGAAGATGATGTTCAGAGTCAAGCCACATGTTTTGAATGATTCAGACACATTTAAAAAATAATACGAAGTAATTCAATCAGAAAAGATGAAAGAACAGGTATCTTTTCAACTTCTAAAATCAATGTAAATATTAACCATATTCAAAAATATATCCATGCCATTGATGACAGACTGTTAGAGAGAAAATTATTTCAAAGATTCCACTTTAATGTATAATAATCTATAAATAAAAAGTTTGACAGTAGTCCATGTATTGTGTGAATGTGTGGACGTGTGCATGTGCATGTGTAATGAAATATATACATTATATATAATGTTTGATTTTTTTCAAACAATAAAAGCTATAAATTTTTGCAATCCATTTTTGAAAATGCAGCATTATGATAATAGTATAATAATGTTATGCAAACTAAAAAATAACTTGAATAGAATATTTTACTTATATTATTTGATGTTCATAAATATATAACAGAAAAGAAAACAAACATGATAAAAGCAATAAATTACAGTTTTAAAAATTAATTTCATCTTATCTTATCTTTTGTCCTTGAAGCAAGACTGATAAACTATAGTTCATATATACCACAGGCCATTAAAATTGCAACACTAAGAAGGATGCATCTGACTACTGATCACTGGGGGATATGTAAATAATTAGCAGTGCAGCACAAATGCAAATCATGTGCACCAGTAATGTCTCTTGGAAGCAGTATAAAAAAGGAAGAACAGAAATCCAGTTTTAAGTATTGGAATTGTGTTTTCTCTCTATTCCTGTGTACAGATGGCTTAAGTATACCTCATCAAAATATATGGAAGCCTTACCAGCAGGTTTCTGATTTTGATAGCTGGAGAATTGTGGTATCATAACTGTGGATTATCCTTCTGCAAAATTGATATTCATGTTGGAAGAAAGGCACCCACATGGAATGTGCAAATATGGAATCGGTGGGTCGAGAATGAATGAACTGATGTGAAAGATCCCAACAGAAACACCATACAACCAAATGAGAGAACATCATCTTATCTGCTCAGCTATTTGAGTTTGTGATATGGCTGCATGAGATACTGATTTCTGTATGTTCCTCAGCTTGAACCAAGCTGAAATTGTAATTACAGTCGACCCCCTATAATGTGATAGATACATTCCACTTTATAAGAATTTTGCGTTGTAGGAATCCTTAAATACATAAGCCAACCACAGCCCGACACATGTGAAGTTTACAAACTACGGCTGTTTGAAAGGTTTTCTTCCATAAAATTAATCGATTCTAGACTAATTTGACTCAACATTTCCAAAACATGTATAAGTTTTTGGGAATAATCCGTATAAACTATGCTATAAACAAAAAATTGTAGGATTACTTACCAAGTGTGCACCGTTTGACAACGCCATTGCTTAAGTTTGTTTTTGTCGCAGAGCAGCGCACCAAACGGTGGGCGCGTTTTCTGATAAGTTATTTTTCTGCGAAAAATTCTTTGAACTTTGGAGACATCATTAATAGAAATAATTTTTATGGCCATTGAATAAGAAATGTTTTTTTCACAAGAAATGTATAAAATTACAGTACTGTATTAGACTTACAGTACTTAATTTATATACTGTACAGGCAATAGTAAACTTACCCAAATAAACTCTCCGTAGTGTGTAAGTAGTTCGGCTGTTTGTCCACTATTGGTCCAGATTTGACCAATCCTGTTGCGACACAAGTCAGCGATGACGTTTTACTGCATTTAACGAGTCTCTTTTAGCATCTTTATACGAATACAGTCACAATTTTTTCGCTGTGATATACGAATCTGCATTATATGAACCCGCATTATAGGGGGGTCTACTGTATTTTACCCTTGTTCTATAAATTAGCTATATAATATGAATGGCTTTGGTAGTTCATCCTTCTTTGTGTTGCAATTTTAATGGCCAGCAGTTTAATTTTATTTTGCAGGTTTTCTTCAACAATGCTAATATATAAATTTTTTAAAATCTAAGACTTTTTACTTACTGGCTTTGGAAGTTTTGCCTTTAAATACTCATATTTCCGTTTGTAGTCTCTGGAATATGGTACAGCCTAGAAACAGAAAAAGTCTTGTTATTAAACCTGAAAAGTTTTTATTTTATTAATGTAAAAATTTAACAATTAAAATATTTGAATAAATAAAATTTAATTATTATTAACACTACAAAATATTAGAGAGTAGAAATGTATTATTACTGTACTTTATATACTGTATATATGTAGGCTGTTTTTTTTCCCCAAAGCTCCGATCGTCCATAAAAAAAAGACAAGTGTAAATAACAAAATGAATTTATTAACAAAAGTTAGGTACAAACATGGTTACTTTTCGACATAATCATTGTGAAGATTGAGGCATTTGTCATATCTATAGACGAACTTTTCCATCCCCTTGTCATAGAATGTTGCCGCCAATAACTTGAGATGGGCACTAACATTTTTTTATAGATCATCATTATTCTTGAACCTCTGCCCTCCTAGCCACTTTTCCTGTTCTGGAAAGAGGTGGAAGTTGCTCGGTCAGCTTTAAATAGGGGCTATATGCTGGGTGGTGTGTTTAAAGGTGTTGAAGACTTCCACCTCTTTCCTGAACTGAAAACGTGGCTAGCAGGGCAGACAGAGGTTTGAGACTAATAAATTAAATGACAATCTTCAAAACAATGTTGTTAAGGTCATCTCAGTTCACTGGCGGCAACATTCTATGACAAGGGATGGAAAAGCTCATCCACAGATATGACAAATTCCTCAATTTTCATGCTGATTATGTAGTGCCGAATGTTTATCATAAGGAAACAGTGTTTTGCTTCTCCCGTAAAATTCAGTTTTTGCCCCATACTAGATATTGCATTTACACCTATGAATTGTGAGTTGATGCCATTAAGTATATACTACATTGCAAAATTTTTCCTTTCAAGACTTATAGTGATTTCTATAATTTGATTTTTCTTTGTTCTAGCAATTTTTAAAATGAATGTGATCAAAGAACAATGTGTTGATGTGAAATTTTGTTTTAAATTTGGAAAAAAAGAAACAGAGACACTTCAACTTTTGAAAACAGCTTTTGAAGATGATGTTCAGAGTCAAGCCACATGTTTTGAATGATTCAGACACATTTAAAAAATAATACGAAGTAATTCAATCAGAAAAGATGAAAGAACAGGTATCTTTTCAACTTCTAAAATCAATGTAAATATTAACCATATTCAAAAATATATCCATGCCATTGATGACAGACTGTTAGAGAGAAAATTATTTCAAAGATTCCACTTTAATGTATAATAATCTATAAATAAAAAGTTTGACAGTAGTCCATGTATTGTGTGAATGTGTGGACGTGTGCATGTGCATGTGTAATGAAATATATACATTATATATAATGTTTGATTTTTTTCAAACAATAAAAGCTATAAATTTTTGCAATCCATTTTTGAAAATGCAGCATTATGATAATAGTATAATAATGTTATGCAAACTAAAAAATAACTTGAATAGAATATTTTACTTATATTATTTGATGTTCATAAATATATAACAGAAAAGAAAACAAACATGATAAAAGCAATAAATTACAGTTTTAAAAATTAATTTCATCTTATCTTATCTTTTGTCCTTGAAGCAAGACTGATAAACTATAGTTCATATATACCACAGGCCATTAAAATTGCAACACTAAGAAGGATGCATCTGACTACTGATCACTGGGGGATATGTAAATAATTAGCAGTGCACCAGTAATGTCTCTTGGAAGCAGTATAAAAAAGGAAGAACAGAAATCCAGTTTTAAGTATTGGAATTGTGTTTTCTCTCTATTCCTGTGTACAGATGGCTTAAGTATACCTCATCAAAATATATGGAAGCCTTACCAGCAGGTTTCTGATTTTGATAGCTGGAGAATTGTGGTATCATNTATATTTTTCAATATATTTATTTTGTTTGTACAAAATAAAGAATTTTTAACAATACAATAGTCACAATTATTATTTTAAAAAGTTTACGTTAGGCTTAACATCGACGAAAATTCAACGCGAAGCGACACGCAATGGAGAAAAATTTCAACATGGGATAGGTTAATATATTTTTTTGTATATAATCCGTTATCCAAAATATCGATTTTCTGAATAACCCTAGTCCCCAATTGATCCGGATAATCGACGCTCTACTGTATTTACAACCTGCTACTTTAAACACCATTAAATTCTATATAGTAATAAGCTATGAAATGATCATATACTAGATATAGTAGCTTTCACTTATTATAATCATGAATAATTTTGTATGTTAATATCAAAATTAGCAGGCTCCAAAACACAGAATTTAAATATATTATAAAATCTTTGTTTATTGTATTCAGAAGTAGGTTACTGTTATCATCATTTTTGAGTAAAGAAACTTTTTAAGCTCTCTCTCTTCATACTACCTGTCTCATAAATGGCTGATAACATGCAATTTTATTAATTCTTGTCATCAGTCTTAATCATTGCTTTAAATGTTAATCATTATTTGTTTTTCTAATCATATTATTTGCTCAAAATATACTAATTTAAATTGCTGACTTTATAATTTATTAAATCTTAAACTTAAACACTTTTATTTTATTGTTTCAATATGTTGTAATATCAGAGTCAATGAATCCAGGATTTCCTCTAATAGTACATCTACTCCACTTAATGTTATCAATTGGCTGTTTCCATCAGTTTAGGCTAATCTTAAAGGTGGTTGCAATAAGCAGAATCTATTGTATAACTAAAACTGAATTTGAATTTTTCTTTTTTAAGCAGCATTATAAAGAAGTCAGAGGATAATATACAATAAGAAATAAACATACCGGTCCTGCAATATTAGGATTATTTAACCGAGGATCTTCCCATTGCGTTATCCTGGTATCTGAAAAAAAAATAAAATTTTTAACGTAACTACAAATATTAATCATTAATGATTTTCTAAGTAATTTCAATATGATGATAAATTTATAATTAATATATCAAAAAAAAATAATAATTAGTTCTATTTAAATTTAAAAATTTATTTACTTTTTTGAGAAAATTAAGTGCAAAAGAAAAACAATAAATTTTTCTTATTTTAAATACATAATTAAAAATTTTTCAAATAAATTCTTTATTACAATTTAAACTTTTTAAAATTTATTTTTAGTGATAAAATTATAATAAAATATCAATTCAAGGTTCATTTTTTACTTTATTTTCAAATGTGGCTATAAAAATTTTTAAATATAATTTTTATGAAAACAATAATATTCTATGCATTTCATACATTATGAAAAAACAAAAATGTATCACATGCCTTCCTTTCTGACTGTATCATTGTTTTAAATATTGCATCTTCATCATTTTTCATTTATTTATTTTTATTACATTTCATAAGTTTATATTAAAATTTAATAAAAATGAGCTTGTATTAAGAGATGAAAGGAAAATCTGTTCTTTTAAATAAAAAGTTAAGCATTATATTCATTAACTTACTATGATCAATAAAAAATATTCTGCCATCAGTATGTACACGTTCCTCCCATCCTTCCTATAAATTAAAAATAATAAAACATATATTTTATAAAAAAAAAAAAACACAATTTACTAAAAAACTAACACAGAGTTCATTAAAATTTTGGTGTCTTACTTATAAAAATTTTAATTTATTCTAAAATATTTTTAAAACTATGTAAATGCCAACTGATTAAAACTATCTACACATAATAAAATAATAATATGCACATTGCAAGAAAATTATACAAAAAAAAACTTATTGAAAAATTACGTAATGGATTATAATTAATTAATATTATTGGCATCACACATTGTAAAAATTACCAAATGCTGTTAAAATTATTAGATCCTGATAATTATTATGGTGTTGGTGGAGTATATCCTATAAAGCATACTTTATATACTAATGCCTAGATCAAATTCAAGGCATAACTATAGAAAACAAATGCTTTGTTTATATGCTGTTCATGTATATATCTGTGTTTAAGAATATCCTGACAATGTGACATGTATTTAATATGACAGCTTTCTGTAGTATGTAGTGATGTATGTGCTGTTGTGAAGCCTTAATACTTCAAGACTTGTGTAGCGTATATGGTATGATGTCTGTGCAAGAAAGATCTACTGGAACAATATGTAACTCACCCACTGTCCAAATGCACTTTATTTATTTGTGGACAATTTCTGAATATTTACTAATTTTTCAATCATGTATTACTAATATTTTGTATGTTATGGATGTTTAGAATAGCTATGTCTATAATGCATGTGATTGTTTTGTTTGTGAACAAATATGATGTCTGGTCTGTTGGAATGAATTTATCTGTAATTACAACTAAACCTCAAACAAAACCTTTTAAAATATGCAGCTGTTTTATTATCTATTTGAATGCTTTCTGTCATTTTTAATGACCTTCTTCAAGTACAAAAATCAAATGCTTCCAATTTTGTTCTTATCTGTGATTTTGGATATTTTATTTGTGTTGTTTTCTATGAATGTCTGAAGAGTGTAGTTGTAGTATGATTCCTGGATGCATAGTAGTTTTTTTTGACATATTATATTTGCTAATTGGGTATGCTGATAAAAGCAGTCAATTTGTGTTAAAAGCTTACAACCTGACATAATGCATTGTATAATCTTGTGCATGACATGGCATTTCCTAATGGTGTCTTCTGGGAGTGTCATGTCTTTTAAGATGTGCTTTCTGTAGTTTTTTTTTCTGGTCTTGTAAGGCAGTCATAAATCTCTTCATCTCTCCAAATTGGCATCCATACGTCAGCCAGAAATTTCATACAGTTTCATCAACCAGATACTGGCTGACATTGTTAGAATGCCTACTGTAGAGCAACTTCTGCCTGATGGTGTCTGTGCATTTTGTGCACTTGTCATATCCAGATCAGTGTTATTTAAGTTTAATGGTATACTGTTTTTGTCTACAAGAGTTATGACTTTGTGTAATTGCGATATTTCTTGTTTTCAATAGAAATATTCTTGCAGTGTCTGTATTTGTTTGTAGTCCCAAGTTTAAAATATCTGTAAGGCCTCATCCTTCCTCTTTACAATAAATAGTCAATCTTTCCATAGACAAATTAGGGTGGTGCTTGTTATCTTTTGTTAATGTTGCTTATGTTTTCTTTTAAAGTTATTCTGCTTCTGTTTGTCCAATTTGTATAACTCCAAATGAATATGTCAGTACTGAGACAACATATGTGTTGATTGCTTTAACAGTGTAATTTGTATTCAACCGTGTCGTTAGTATTAAGTTTAATATACTGCTATATTGTTTTGTTAATCTTTATTTTATTTCTGCATGTTCTAGGAGTTGGCCTGTTGGAATCTTAAATATCTTTAGATTTCACCTGCAAGCATGATTCAATGATACCTTCATTTCTGAGTACAAATTCATCTTTCTTCAAGATTCCTTTACCTATGTAAATTATTCTGCATTTGTCTAGACCAAACTCCACTGACAGTTATTGAATTGTCAGTGGAGTAAGTGACTGTGTATAACTTCTAATGTGTGATTTTGCTAGGCTTGTTCAGATGTGTAGAGTTTTATGTTGTTCATGTATAATCAGTCACAAAATATTTTTGGCATTGTGTGCTGAGATCAAAGATAAATTCCAGAAAATTATTTATTGATAGTTAAGTTATTAAGATGCACATTATCAATTTAGTGAATATAATTAACAAATTTAGTTATTTAAAAAATCCATCATAGGTTAATTACAATAAGAAAATATACACATTAATAAGCTGCATTCTGTCTCTGTCTATGATTATCATTACATTAAAAATATATTTATCTACTAATCACAGATTAATCATAAAATAAATCATTGCGTACATAAATGTCATATAAAGATGAAATTTTGCAGAAAAACTAATAGTCAATATAGTTCTGTTAGTTCTTAATTAAATCAATACTTAATTCAAATGAATACTTAGTAATGATACCAACAAAAACAGTAATAAAATGTTTAACTTACTGGTAACTGTCCAAGATCATCCACACTACTAAATGATGGCCTGTTGGGCACATTATTTTGATTGGGAAGAGGACTTGGTCTGCCAGTTCGAGGATCGACCTTCAGGAAAATTTTATAAATATACTGCATAAATATTTTTGAAATATTATAATTGATAAAAATTTTCATTCACAGAAATCAAAGCGCACACAAAAATTCATACATTTTAATAAAATAAAATAAATAAATATCAATATCTTAAATTTTATACTTATAAACAATTATCAAATTTACACATTATAAAGATTTACTTCTATGTTTTCTTATAATATAACTTATTAATTAAAAATATTAGTCAGTTTTAAGAAAAGAATTAATATTTCTTAAATCATATGCTTCTGTGTCCTTATCATATAGTTTAATATTTAAGATGTCTACTCAAACTTATTTTATTAATAAGACTTATTACACCGACGACTCGGTTCAGCAAATTTAAGAAAACTTATCAGAAAAAACAGTCTTTATTTACAGTCTGAACCAAGTCGTCAATATAATAAGTCCTATTAATAAAATAAGTCTGAGTAGACATCTTAAATACTAAATTAATATTTCTGTTCCATATTTTTCTATGAATTAACCTTTTTTAAATACAAGATAGATTAATATGCCATAATGCTTTTAGTTTTGTTATTAAGGATTTATTTGAATTTTTTCCTCCTACTATTTCAAACTATATATTAGTCCCGCTAAAAAATTTCTTGTTTAAATTTCATGCTAACAATGAAATAATATTTCAAAATACTAATACTACTCTTTTGTCTCCATTTTTAAAATTTACAGAATTTTTTTCAAGAGAAAATAAATTAAAAACTTCAATGACAATGCTGTATTTAACAATTCAATAATAAATTTCACAGAGTAATTTCAGAATGTGAAAATAATCTTCCTTGTAGACAAAAATATTAGTCTAATTTGTAAAAAAAATAGAAAGATGAAAAAATATGATAATGTTAAATGATCTATAATAATCAGTAATATCTATATTATTTAACCTAAATATTATATCTATTTTACACATTTTTATGTATAAAAGTCCATCAAAAGCATGAGAAAAATAATTTTTGAAAATTCTTTAATGAAATTTTTTATATGTAGTGGTCTTCAAGTAACTTTATAGAATTCATAGTATGTATTAAAAGTATTTAAAACTATACTTTTTTACATAACTGAATATAGTTTAGAAATGTTTACAACCCTTTTAATACAGAATGTTTTTCTTTTCTACACTTTTTTGCAATTTAATTTTTACTTTTTGAAGCATTTAAATCTAATTATTGAAATAAAATTAACTTTTTTTAACAAAGGTAAAATAGGATTTACATACATAATTATAAAAATGAAATACAAAGTCACTGATGTATTTACCCAAGTTGTTGTTTTTGTATTATGATCGATGAAAAACACTCTTCCATTTGGTGCTACTTGAAGTGACCATCCTGCAGGTAATCCATCAAGCGATAACTGAGCAGACAATTGCGATGATAACTCTGTAGGTGACTTAATAAATAAAAATGCAATAATTAAGTACAGATGTAGTGTAGTATAATGATTTACATGTTATATATTTTTAACATAAATTATAACTTATCAATAATATTTAAAAGAAAAAAAATTAAATAATCACAGAATTATTTAACTTTGTTAGTTAAATAATTATTTATATGTAGAATACATCACAAAATAAACACAAAACCCATCAATATCATTAAAGTTTGCACTAAATATTCAATAAATACAGATCTAAAGATCAATTTTATTCCTTATATTTAACTGATTAAATTTTCACATAACAATAATATTTATATGAAGATTTCTATGTGAATACTTTGAAATAAAAATAAAATTTCTTTGTGTTAATATAAATTTATTTTTTTTATACCTGTACAGGTGTTTCTTCTGGAATTTGAGATTCCATTTCACCATTGTCTGCACTAATGTGAAAACGCCGTTCAAATTCTCTTGCAGAATCTAAACTACGTTGCTGTACTTGTTCTTCTGTTGGTGAAATTCTACAGAATAATTTAAAACATCAATAGGTACAATAAATAGGTATTTTAGTATTTGAATAATCTACTTAAATAATAAAAAAATGTGAAAAAATGAATATGTACCTCTACGCACTTATCAATATACTATACTTGTATAAATAAAAATTAGAGATGATACAATAATGAATTCTGTAAATACAATTCAGATACTGATAATTTTCCAACCAATCCGATCCTGATACTTAATTTTATCTGTATTCTCTATGTGTCAATAAATGATAGCTCATTGATTTAGAGCAGGGAGTCACTAAACTTTTTTCACAATGGGCCACATAACTGAGAGAAGGACAAACAAGGGCCACATAACAATTTTGTTCAATAGAGTATACTAATACACAAAAAATAAAGACAACCAATATATTTATTTACCAATACACAAACATGATCGCTGCAGCAAGCTCGTAATCGCTTTTCTTAGAAACATCATTGTAGGTACTTACATAAAAAGCACTCAGATATCCAAACTCGCAAAAAGTCACCAAATTTTTTATTTCAGTAATTTTCCTAAATATTATATTACTGTCAGATGCAAAAATCAAATTGGACTAATTTTGGCATTTTTACTTTAACTTTTTCTACATGGTAAGTTTATCTACAGTCTATGATATTTCCATATAAATAATTATATTTTAGCTGATTTGTGACACAGTGCAGCAGCAGTGGACCAGATGAGCTGACCTTGCAGGTCGTAGTTTGGTGACCTCTGGTTTAGAGGATAACCATTTAAATTCAAATATAAAGAAATATAAGTCTATATACTGATTTGAAGCTCATTTCGGATCAGACCATTGACAATTGTAATTGTCTAGTTTGCCTAAGTCTGCACTAGCCCTGTTTCTAAGAAAAAAAATTTGAATACATCTTGAACAAATTTATAATTGTATAGAAAAATTACCAGATTGAAAAAATCGTTCGGCAATGATTTTTTCAATGTGGTAATGTCTCCAGACCTGATAATGTTGTTCACACATTATCCATCCACTGATAAAAATGCATCCAGCATGCAAAGTTTTTTTGTACAAGAAGAATAAGCAAAAGCAGTGTCATTATTATTGCCTTACTGTCCTTTAGTTTCTTAATATATATTAAAAGCAGTGTCAGTTTTCTATATAATTGGTTGAGACCTGTCACAACTGAAGTAATTAAAATGAGATTTGTGCACTACATATATTNCTTGCATAAAAACTTAAAAACCAGTATAATTGTCCTATTAATAATTAATGTCCAAGTTGACAAAAAATATATATTAAAAGCAGTGTCAGTTTTCTATATAATTGGTTGAGACCTGTCACAACTGAAGTAATTAAAATGAGATTTGTGCACTACATATATTTTGTTTGTAAAGTTTTGTGAATCACAAAAACACATACCCAGGACCAAACTTTACTCAGGGTCATTGAGAGGGCCATAACTGACTTTCGTGGCAACAAAAAATAAAAATTAAAGCAAGCAATAAAAAATTTTCCTTGGGTTGTTTAATAATAGTAATAGGTTATAACAATAAGAAATATGTACAAGAATTAATTGAAAAAATTCTGATAATAAATTTCAAAAAAGACAATTGTATTAGTATTCAGTAAGTCAAGATTACAACAGAAATTGTTTAGCAAGCAATAATAATAATAATGATAACAACAATGGTAATAGCAGCAAAAACACCAAAATCACAGTTCATTCCCCAGCAAAGCTAGCCAAAATATCTTCTTCTTGTCTTAGTCGCTTCACAAATATCTATTTATACCCATTGACACCCTGACATACAAAGTTGCTGTTTACCTCATTTACATTCTCCATTATTCCTATTTTCATCCATTCCCATATGAAAACAATTCTGATTCTAATAATTTTGTACTGCATGTTTAATAATGAAAAAATACGAATTCTTGTACTTTGGTTTCATTATTAACATTCTCTTCTTCCTTCAAGAAGTGACATCACAGCATCACTGGTGTCCAGCATGACAGACTGTGTGTGGTAAGTTTGGTTTAATTTTACGTTTTACCTCCTACTCACAGGTGTGAAGTAATTGCCCTTACCTAAACAAAATCTCTAAAATAAACATAACTAAATAAAGAAAAATAATAATGATTGTAAAGAAGTCATGTTTCCTCTCAAATGTTAGTGTTTGGATCCATATTTTCGATGAAAATCATTATTAATTATAATAAAAATTGATTTTAGTTTATAAAATCAATTTTTATTATATTGCAAAATTCCATTTTACTTTCCAAAGAAAATGATTTACATTTGTTAGCTACACAAAGCATTTCTAGAACCAGAATAAAATAAAGAAAGAAAACTTATCTAAACAATGCAATAACTCTACCCTATAATCATATATGCAAATTTCAGAACAAAATATCAATGCTTACTACTATGTGCTGTATATTTTAAGAATATGCATTACAATAATCATCTGAGATGGCATGAGCAATGGCAGAGAAATCAGATTGATAATGTATGCCACACAATTCAGTTGTGACAAGTTTTAAACAATCATAGAGTGAACTGAAGATGTTATTGCTTAACCTGGTTGTATGAAAATGTCTCATGACCATTGGTGACAAACATGTGCAGAGAGGATGTTCTGTCTACCGTGGGTTAGTTTCACAGCACAATATGTCCCATCACCATGTTCAAATGCCTGTCATGACAAAACAATGCAAAGAATAAGTACTGGGCAAAAAATTGGAGTTTGTAAAATGAACGAACATTCTGATATGCCAATATATCATTACCAAAATTTATTAAAAATACATAAAATTTAAAAATTAAGGAAACATATAACAGTTTGTAACAAATAACTTACCCAGTTGGTCGTTCCCACTGTGTGGTACGAGCTATGTGATTTACATAATATGTTCTTCCATTAGCGTCTTGTCTTTCCTCCCAACCTGCAGGTAAACTAGCTTGGTTAGAAGACTGAACTAATGCCATAATTGGTTCTGATGGTGTTTCTTCATGAACATTACTTTCATCCATCACTTCAACAATTTCCCATCCAGCCTAATACATAAATAAAAATTAAAGCTAATTAGTGTAAGAAATTTAAATGATGTTACACATGTTCACTTCATCAAATATTATTATAAAGATCCCACAACAGATCCCACTTCTTGAAATCTCATTTTACAAACCCATACTGTCACAAAAGATGTATATTTATATTTTTTTATGATTGCATGTAATGTCATATTTAATATAATATTTTTTATTGGACATTTCAGTGACTAACAAAAAATGTATTGTATAGTTTAAAATTAGAATGCAATTTACAACTCATTTAATGATTCAATGAAATTATAAAAGTGAGGATCTACTATATAATTAATTATTTTATTAATATATACTGTTTTAACTGAAACATTTTATATAAAATTATTATACTGAAAAATATAAGATGTCAGAATAACTCTAAAATTAATTTATCCTTGCAACTTTCAATAAATAATGTAAATACTGATAGATTGAGCTGTAGAAATCAATACATTTTTTTTACAATTAATTCTACTTAGTGTGAAAATAATTTAAGCAAATTTCAAAAAACATACCAAAGTTTATTGTTAACAATTACTATTATACTAAACACTTTCAAATGCCTAAATGCATATATCACCTCATACATTTTTTATAGCGTAATAAAATAGATACACACTATTTTTACATGTCAAATATATTTGGAGTGATCAAAAAGTAACTTTACAAGTTTTAAAAACCAAAACGCTGTCAAAGTCTAACTCCAATGTAGTTATTTTGTATTTTTTATAAAACCGTGTGCTTTTCGTATTGTTGACTTGTTAAACACTGACTTTACAGTGTATTTTGAAGACACATGGCAATCCAATGTAGTTAATTAGTAATGAGCAAGATTACAAATACTGAATAATTACAGTAGAATAACAAGTATGTGGAACAGTTGTGATGTCACATTTTCAAATGGCAACAAGGCTAGGGAAGTAGTCTTGAGAAAAAGTTTAAGCAGTTATTTCACTTTTATGAACCAAAAATATTCCACCTGCTGAAGTCAGTATTGTCAGTTAATCAAGGTATATGAAGACAATTCACATCACATCAATGTCATGTAATGGTGCCATAGTTTTACAATCAGTTGAGAAAATTTGAGTTAAGAAAGTCACAGTGAACATCCAAGCTGTTCAACAATGAAATTCAATAAAGCAAGAATTAATGCTTGAATGCCTACGGAATCCAGGACATTTACTCTCGTAATGGAGAGAAAGCATCTGATTTCTTAGCTGAAACATTAGTCTCTTATGCAACAATGCCAAACTGCATATAGCATATCAACTGAGAATTTGCTGCAAACATTTCAATAGAAGATTCAACATCATCACCTTATTTCTCAGATATAGTAGTACCTTCTGACTTTTATGTTTTCCCATATTTGAAAGAATACATGTGATTGCAGGTCTTAAACTGTAGTGTATACTGAAAATCAATACAAATTACATGTAGAGAAAATATTGTTCTATTTTGAACTGTGTGAAAATTTTAAACCTTTACTGGAAATTCAAAAATATTAAAAAATGTCAATATGCTTCATCACGTTTGAAAATGTTCTAATGTTTTATTCAGTTTTTATATATGTATCTGAATATGAGCGGAATTAAGCTTTAAAAAATGTTTAATACATTTAAATAAAAACATCCCTACAATTAATTAGTGATTTTATATATGAATTTATAGACAGTTCCCACATTTATAAAACTAATTTAAAATTAATCACATTGATGTTATGTGAGAGAGAAATATTTAGAAAAAAAAACTGTAGTATGTATTAATTAAAAAAAGTAAATTTTAGAATCACAATGTAAAAAAAATATTGGATGTGCCTCATTATTATTGTTTAGAACAAAAATCATTTTCATCTCAAAAATCTATAAACACTACAGTGGTATAATTAGAAAAGTATTTTATATATATACATATATTAACTACTATCAAAATATATGCAAATTATGACAAAGTTTTAAATCAAACAAAATGTGCCGTAAGCTACACACCAACCGAATGCCGAAAATCTATCGGGCTAGTTTAAGGCTAATTACTAAATAAATTACCGTTATATAGTTAGCTTCTATACGCTGGAAGAGGAGATCGGACTGGAGGTCCAGATAGCGTAACTGGCAACGCATCTGCACGGTAAGCAGGAGTTGTGGGTTCGAGTCCCGCTCCAGGCCGATTTTTTCTCCCAGCGGTTCTAAATTATTTAAATTAATTAATTTATTTATAATTATTAATGTTAATAAGAGATGGTGCCTAACGCTTACCTCTAGAGCCAAATTGGTTACGTAATTTATTTAGTAATTAGCCTTAAACTAGCCTGATAGATTTTCGGCATTCGGTTGGTGTGTAGCTATATAGTATATCGGGTTTTAGCGATGCTTGTGCTGTAAGCACTTGAAATTATCGATTAAACCTTCAATGTGAGACATTTATGGTAGAATTTCTGGTTTGCTGGAATGTGTTAGCCTTGTATCAGTAGCAGAATATAAATTGTGTCAAAAATGAACATCTGATTCTAATTGGCTATGTGTAACACTTTTTGATGCTTATTTCTTTATATATATATATATATATAAAAATATATATAGGTAGTAACTATACCTCAGTTTCTTGTTGAGTTTGTTCCTCTTCATTACTTTCATTATCATTTCCATTTGCTAAAAATGCATGATAGATCTGTAAATGACCCTTCACGCGTGATCGAGCACTGAAAATATCCAAAATTTCAGTAAGAGTAAATTGAAGAAATAATAATTATTTATCAATTTATTTCACATTTTACTATATGTGCATAAATAAAATTGTTTTCACATATCATTAAAGAAAACTAATGTTTTTTTTATAATTCAAATTAACTACAAAACTGAAATCAAACACAAAAGAATATGAAAAGCAAAGATCAAACTATACCCGTGCTTATGTTTTATTAATTACTTTAAAATGATATTTTAATGTTACTATAACATTATTAATTAATCACTAATGCAAATTTTGCATTAGTTTTCATACTTACTTGAGTTTGCTTGTGTGGAAAATAAAATCATAACTAAAAATATTCTTGCCACATTATGTGTGTGTTACTAAACTTTTTAAATGAATTTTTAAAAATTTATTTTAAAAGTTTAATATTCTATTTTAACTTTCACTTTTTTTCTTATATCCATGTTTTATAGACAGATTAATTCATTATGAAAATATTTAAGAAATTATTAAACCCTAACTTCTTCGAAATTATATCCTTACATATTTTTGGTTATTTCAAGTTAAGAATTAAACAAATATATTCATTTTTGTAGCAATTACAGTTTAATTTTGTATATTAGTATGTATATTAGTAATAACAGTTGTAAATAATAATTTTATAAAGCACTACACCAAAACAAAAATGTCAAAATAATTTTTAAGCAGCAATAAAACTTACAAAAACTTAAAGTGATTAAAAAATTTTTAAGTTTCCTAAGTCTAACTGGTATTTGTCATTACACATTGCATATGCAATGAGTCATTTCATTTAAAGACCTAATAATGCTAATAAAATGTAAGGCATATAATTCATTTAACAAAAAAAAAATGTTTTGTCAAATAAAAAAATAAATATTAATAAAAAATGAAAGTTTCTTTAAATTTAATACAATCAATGCTATAACACTTTCATATTAACTATGTAAAATATTCATGTCATAATTATAGTATGACATAATAAAAATGTGCCGAAAACGTGTTACTTATGAAAAAAGTTGTGCTGCTTTTTTCACTTTTTGTCCCTTTCACACTGCGGGCATCAAACGAGCTTTTTCCCCTCATCCATCATAAGTTTAGCTAAATCTATAACAAGGCAGTCAGATAATGGGGGATGGGCCTAATATATCAGGGTCAAACTATCCCCAAAAAATTCCCGAGGAGTTGCCTGTCAGATTCAATCCCAGGTTCTGCAGTGTGGTAGCTTGACACCATAAAAATTTGGCCATCACGCTGTCAACTTATACAACTTAACTATATAAGTAACGTTTTCAGTTATTATTTAATTTCAGCTCCAATGAAAGAAATCTGTTATTTGTTTATAGAATATGATATAATTTATTAGCAGGTATATTTTGATAATTCTTTGACAAAAAGTAAATAGACTTTTTTATTTTTATTTTATTATAGTGTTATAACTATTCACTTTAATTAAACAACAAATTTTTCAATAATGTTAAACTCTAACCTTCTTGGACGAAGAATATAATACTTGTGTGGAATATAATGACCCGGTCTTTCTGTAGGAATATGATGAAGGGGAAGTTCTACTAAACCAAGAAAATCATCCCTCGTCTGAAAAAATCAATAATTTGTTAGTAACCAGTTATAAATATAAAAATAATTACTACTATACTAAAATATAATTAATAACTACATTCAGTTTTTTAAGGATAATATCATTAAATGAAAATAAAGAAATGCTCTAGAAAAAATAAATGCATGAAATCAATATTATATAAAAATGCTAAAAGTTCAAATTGTACAGTTTAATAAATACAAGTTAAAATAAGATAATTATTCAAATATTCATTTTCAGATAATAGAATTCAAACTGGAAATCTATCAACATAAAATGCATGTATTTCCACAAATCTAAATCGCTCGTATTCAGTTAAACACTGTATTTTTAGGTCAAGATACACGAAAAAGTATCATTTGGTGAAAGTTAAACAAATGTTTCAAATATTTAATTTATGATAAAATTAGTTATGACATCATTGACTTGAACAGCTTTTTCTCAATTATTTTTCAAGGAGACAACATTTATTTCAAACCAACCAGAAATTTTTGTGATCTCTTACCAAATTTTATTATTTTCTTGTAATAATTATGAAATAGAAAAGCTATTCAAATAGATTATTTACAAACAACACTATCTGTCGATATTTGACATATTTCAAATTCAAATATTTTTATTAATTTTTTTTTTCTTTTTAAATTTTTTTAAAATTTCTTTCAATGATATCAACTGCATTTCGCAATCTCAACAATTATCTCTCATTATCTGTCAATATCTATTATTACATTGCATATCTGTATACTGTTATAAATTATATATCAATTATAAATGTTATTTTATTACAACAGTAAATCAGAATTTATTAAAAATGATGTATTTATCATCTAAATACATCACCACCACATTTACAATACTATTATCAATTCATATAAAATTTTCTGCATCATTCACTCACTTAAATTTTATAGCATTATTTTTTGGAAGGAGAATGATAATATTTTAGATGAGTTGCTGCCATTATCTGTTTGATTTGAACAGATTAAATTAAATTTTAAAAATGTAATAATTTTAATATTATGAGTGTTTTCAGATCCTGAGATCTTTTATACGGTATTAATTTTCTTGTAAGCTGATTCTAATATGATCTGATAAAAATAATTACATTAAATGTTATACATTATTCCTAGCAACATAAAGAATTATTAGAACTAGTCATAAATTTTTAAATATCGTTAACAGTAAATAGTTTTAATTAATGTAAAAATGTTTTAATTTTTAAAAAAATCCTTTAAATATACTTTACAAACTATCAATAATTTTAAATTTGTATATTGATAACTACTGTTATTAAATATTATTTGAATCCCATTTTTTATTGTTTTAAATTGTCTAATTCAGATATTTCTTATATTTATTACAATTAAAACTGTATTTGCTGTTATTTAAGATATCAGCATATAAAAAGGTACTTTTTATAAGAAAACTTTTCATAAAGTGAAGGTAATTTTACAGAGGAAAATTATATTTGATATGTAAATATAGTATAAACTGGAAATCAATAAAAAATCATAAATTTATCTTCATAACTACCAAGCAATATACAATAAATCATATATCAATGTTAGCTTTATGTATGGGAATACTAGATACAGAACATCCTCTACTTTTGTAGAAAAACAATGTGTTGTATGCCATCAATAATTTTTCTAACAGAAATCTATATTTGCTGTTTTTTATGTTTAATAATTAATACTAATCACTAACCAATCGATTTTCATCAAAAACTTCCATCACCATCTTATGATGCTGAGGTCTTACCTATAGAATAATAAAATAAAAAATTATTGAAATGTAATTCATGAATTTAAAGATAAAAAAATTAACAAGTAAAGTAAATAAAATACATTTAAATTAGCTTGTATGTCAGCAAATACAAATATTTCTTCTAATTATTATAATAAAAACTCTATTTGCTACCATGTAACATAACATAATATTAAAAAAATATATTTTATATATATATAAATATAATTAAATTTACAAAAAACAAAATTAAAATCAGCAACTATATAAACTTTCCAGCTCTGTTAAAATTCAATACTAATTTATTTTAAAAAGACTATAAAATGTTGTTAATAATAATAATAATAACACATTCATTTCACTATCATATCTGTGTGTAAAATTTATTAATAAATACAACATAAGTGTAATTCTGAAAAATTCATATGACAAGATAACAATTTGGATTATAGTGATGATGATAATATTCATAATAATTGCATCACTGAAATGAAAATGTGTGTGTCAATACATCTTGATCTAGAGGATGTATTGACACACAAAGGCTTTTGCCCTCTACCCATAAACACATATTCGAAACTTAAGTATGAGCACAATTGCTAGTGGTGATGACTATAAAAATTCACCAAGCCAGTTGGTGACAAGCCTGTCATAATACTGTTAGTACTGCATCACAGTTTGAGGTGGACATATTTCAATCTGACAGGTCCCTCTGCCTGGGTATTGGGGTAAGCACTTTCCATCCATTCTCCACCTGTGTCCAATTGCTGTATGTATCTTTTACACCAAAGACTTTTATTGCTTTGACTTGTAAAATCCTACAAGTTATTGTGTATTGCCTTGCGTCAGACATCAAGTAATACAGTTCTTGCCATATCTGTCTGCATTTGTCTACAGTTCTCTCTATTCATGTACAAATGTTGTCCGTCCTTAAGTTTCAGACGTGTGTACAATATACAATCAATAAAGATATATCCTGCATTTTTCACTGAACTAAATATGTAGATAAATATGTATATAAATCTTTTTGATTTTTCATTGCTTTATTAATAGCCAAAATGCCAAATGTATACTACAAGAATATCAAATACAATAAAATTTATATTTTTAAGTATTTAACTATATCAATATTTAGTTAACTTACTCGAAATACGAACTCCTCTTCCCATCGTGGATTTAATGTCTGAAATTTATAATACAAATAATCAGTTACTAATAATATTAATAAATTCTTAATATGAAAATAATTCTAGCATATTACATAGAATTGATTATTTCTATTTATAGGATTCTATTAATAAAAGTAATCAACTCAATTTAAATGAAATTTATCAATTATAGTGTTGATTAAATATTAATAACCATTTATTCCTTCAAAAAAACATTACTCATTGTGTAGAAATTATGATAATTACCTATAAAATATAATCCTAAATTACTGTACACAAATATTAATCAAAGTTTAAAATTTCATTAACATAATCTTTTATTATTCTTCAGTAATTATTATTCGAAAAATACCTTTTTCTTCGTTTTCGTATGTACCGAATCAATGACTTCATCGTTGCTTATTTTTACAAGATCAATCCGAACATAGGGATCACTATAAAAAGTTATGAGATATTAGAAACATTTAAACAATTTTCAAATGACTAATTGATGATTCTTTTTCTTGGTCCTTTGATTTTATATGCTAAAAAACAAAGTATAAATACAATATAAAAATATAAACAATGAATTCATAGAATTATAAGGTAAAATAATAAAAACTTTATACAATTCTTGTAAAAAGGAAAAAAAAAAAAACTTGATAAAAATAGATCTAATGGCCATTATTTTCATTAATTTATTTTTTATTTAAAATCTGATTAATTCAAAGATTTATTTGTATCGTACAAAGTAAATTAAGTAATAATATTCCAAAACAGTTTTTAAAACAAGCATATAAAATTAAACTTAAACAAAATTCAACATACTCGAGACATTCAAAAAGTTCCTAGAAAGTGGTGATTATTCGTAAACAGTATGATTAACTGATGTGAACAAAAACCTGTCAAAATTTGTTTTATCCAGTATTCACATCCAGCACCATCAGACTTTACAATTCCCAAATTTAAAAAAGGTGTTTGCTGGCAGTCAAAAGATCAAGTAAAACATTTTGCAGTTCAGGGGCTAGAATCAAAGACAACTGATTTCTACTGGAAGGGCTTAGAAGGGTGCCAACACCCTATGGAAAATTATTTTAATTTAAATGGAATATATCTCTAAAAATAAAGCGCTAAATTCAATTTGCCATACACGTACACTGAACCAATATAATGTGTGGTACGATCGACGAAACAAAAAAGTTTTTTGTTTCGTCGATCGTACCACACATTATATTGGTTCAGTGTACGTGTTTGATATATAAGTGTGGTGAGTTGTGAGTTTTTTTTTTCAATTTGCCATCTTTTTATTTACATTTTCTGGGAACTATTTGAACGCCTCTTATATAACAGCCTACAAATTCAAATAGTTTCTTCTATAAGCTCATCAACTTATCATTCGTTGATGAGCTTACAGAATGTTGCATGCAATCTACCAGTCACTTGCATTACACAAATTGTTGTAATTAGATACAGTTTATTACTCTTTTGGTAAAAAAAATATATATATATATATTTTTTTTTTACCAAAGCGCTAAATTATATATATATATAATTAAAAACTGCTTTACTGGAGAACTCATTTATATTAGTAAAAATAACAAAAACCTTTGAATCTCTTGACACATCAGAGATGCTAATTAATATAACAACAACTTAATAAAACACAGAAACAAAGTTTGAAACTCCAATGTATTACAAATTAAAACTTCAAAAAATATTCCACACTTCATCTGAATTCAAAATTCTAAGAGCAGAAGAACATTAAGATCCCAATTAACTGTCATATTTCAGGTTAAGTACATAGAACTATTAATTTCAAGAAACTAATTACTTTTTCTTTTAAATTAGTAAATGAATTTTTTTTTTAAATCACTCCAAATTATTCAAAAAACCTGACTCTATGTTAAAATGTCTTTCTCTGTCTATCTTGGTTACGCTTCTTTGTCGCTTTGTCAATCCACTTCCGAACTATCAGTAAAGCATCTGTATGTCTAATACTAACTACTTTCTTTCCCACATTTGTAATTCTTCAGCATACCATATGCCCTCATTTTCTCTTATCTCCTACCATAACCTTACTTCTTTCCATTAAACATCTCTTTTTCTAATGTATAAAGTCATTTTCTCCTCTTTCTTTTGAGGTCTTCAAAAAATTCCATTAGTCTTTTTTTTTTAACTCTCCTTTTTTTGCCGTTGTGTGGCATTTCTTAGACCAGTTCAGTGTGCAAAATATAGGAATGCCATGCCTTTTACATGAAATTATTACTGCAAGCAAACATCCTATAGCATCAGTATCCTTATATGTATACTGATTTTTATCATTTACATCTTTACAGATGATATAATTTCACATTAAAAATACTCTATATTTTTCTCATTAAGTCTTGTATGTAAATTTATATTTGAGAATTATATCACATTAAAAACCAACAACAACAAGTTGCTCAACTTTCCTGATAACATTTATAATTTTGCTGATGTCATCTGTTATCATATTTCACCAGAGATACACACAACCCCTACCCATTCTCTCCCCACTCCCTGGACCTTTAACCACTGAAATTTAATAGCATCAAATCTCCTAATACCCAAACCTTCCTGCAAAATTTCAGAAATTTTTGACACAAGGCACAGGAGTTATTAAACTTCAAAGTGAGTGAACAAAACTGTGCCCCCCCACACTAACATACACATATACAGAAATTATCCCTATATTTTTTTGCATTTCTCAATGTTTCGAGGTGTTGTAAGTCCAGAAACGTAAAAATCTTGGGGGATTGACCAATTGCCATATTTTCCTCTGTTATATATAACAGCCAGGAAAGTAAAAACATCAGCATTGTAAATAATAATGTAATAAAATATAATTTTGTAATTTCTACCTGGCTCCAAATATATCTTTCTTGGCAAGATTATGACCAGCAACAATTTTCAACCTCAGAAGCCTTGGTGGTCCTTCATTCTGCAAGGTAAAATTAAAAAATTTACTTTGTGAAGAAACAATTATTACTTTCTAAAACAATTTCTGAAATATAACTTAGTTTACATTTAGAAGTAAAAATAAATGAAATCATTAAATCAATATATAAGCAAGTATTTATAAAATGCAAATGTATTTATGCAAAAGTTTTGTTTTTTGCTTATGCAGAAATAGATAAAAACTTTTACCGTTTCTCAAAAAAACTTGTAAAATTATAATTCATTCTAAATGCAGATTTGTTATACAGGGTGTCCGAAAAGTTACCGTGCAACGGAAAAGGTTTAAGTTTAATAAGAATGAAGTTTTATGTACAATATTGCAGTTTCTCCTACAGCAAATGCTGGAAACGTCCCCCAGAAATCCAGAAATGAGGTCTGATAACCTAATGGGCCTGATTCCGCAAGAGATTATGCAATTGGCATCTTCCAAAGTCCAAAAACCAGGACATATGTGAGAAAGCAGTAATGCCATCTACCACGAAGAGGAAATGTGAGACATACAATTTAAGGTCTCTATAAAATGCCATACATATAACTTTAATGTCATTATGAATTTCTCACTGCACAACAAGTTTTCGGTCACCCTTTATTTTCAAAGTAATTATTGTTTTATATTTATACATATAATATAATATGTGGTCTCAAAAGGATGTTAGTGAAAACTAAGAGTGTCAGTTACTAAAAAAAAAAAAAAAAAAAGCTCTGCAAATATCGAAAAACTGTTTTATTGGTGAACAAACATGATCAACTCATGCCATATCTAGAAAACTTTTAACTTGCTGGGACTTGTTATATGTTGATCGTGTTCATTAATTTTACACTGGTCCTAAAATAAAGCAGGTTTTAGATATTTATAGAAATCGAAGATTAGTCTTAGTTTTAAGAAACAACTTCTATTTGTTAATTACATTCATGTTTAATATTAAAACAAAATAATAATTTACAGAGAATATCAAAACATCAATATTAATTTGATATTAATATTTTAAATGTTCTTCTGATTTTAATAAAATCACGTTTATTTGAAAATCTTCCTGATGTCATTGTGATTAATATTAACAGATGTAGTTAAATGTGTTTCTTGTAATTATAAGAAATATATTAAAAAATACATTAATTTGATATTACTGACAAATTAATAATTAATATCATACGTATAAACATGAATTTATTATTATTATTAATTAAATTTTGTACAACATGGCAGTTTAACTGATTATCTTTAGTCAAAAATAAAAACAACACCTTATTATTTCCAGCAATAAAACTATTATTTAATAAGATAACAACATTTTTGACTATTTTTAATAGCCTTCATCAGTTAAACAAATTCAAACAAAAAGGAATGCTAAAAATAGAATACAAGCAATACAAAAACTTTTAGAAATTCAAATTAATTCCAATGTAAAACGTAGTCACGTAGTATAAAACAAACAAATTGTGCATACGAATAATATAGGAATAACCATAAACAAAAACAAATTATTGCCGCAATAATAAAATATATGCCTATAACAAGTTAACCACTATGTGCTATGATAAAATGATTTTCATGCAGTGGATAAACCATCCACATCTCCATGGTTAATACAGCCCTTGCTAATGTAGGCTTTGTAGATTTCTAGCTTTTCAAGATATTTCAGCGCTTGTTTGTTGTTCGTGGCCCTAACGATATGCTTTGTCCCAATGAATGCTGACATCCTGCTGTTTAGCGAAAGCCGCGAGTACAGTATTATCCATGTTCTTATTGATGGAGTATTTATGCTCTTTAAGCCTCTGCTGTAAATGTTACCAACGTATAATAGATCCCAGTTAAACTGAAGATCCTTTAAAGGTATAGCATATACCCCTGTCCTATCATTCTGGTTTTCTTTTCTCTTGTCATTTCTTAATTAATATTCTATATATTGTAGGATTATGCCAATACACCATTCTTATGCTATTATTGTTGGCCACCCTCTTCATCATTGTGTATAGGAAAGGAAAATAATTAAGGACTATTTTTCTTCCTTAATTCCTAGTCGGAAGCCATTCATTTATTGGTTTCTGAAACTTAATAATAAGCCCTTCAATTTCTCTTCTCCAATAACCAAGGTGTTGTTTTTATTTTTGATTCATTATCCAATAAGTTCTTTATTTTATTATCTTTAGTCTACATTGCTTTATATTTATTGCATTTATTATATTACAAAAATGAATAAACATTCGTTCTCTCTTATTTATATTATTTACACTTACATACACACACACTATAAACAAACGTTTTATGCATAATTAAATTTTTTGTACTGAATTGTAATGTGATAGACTAATAAAAATAATATCTAATTTTACCTTAGCAATAGTTTTTTACACAAGAAATGAAGAACTAGTTGCTATCTTCAGTTAAATTGCTGAATGCAAAAACAAATATTACGATTCATCACACAAAATTCAAACAATCCCAAAAATTATATAAATCAAATAATGAATATAGATTATAAATAACTTGGAAGAAATTCTGTTTACAGAATTTCTTCCAAGTTATTTATAATCTATAAATGTATTTTGAAATTTGGTCTAGAGATAGATTGAATCACCCCTCATAATAGTTTTAATAAGTACAATTAGCTAAAACTATTTAGAAGACACAATTTAATACTGAGAAATATTGAGTTCAGTAATGTGGTTGACCCATTTTCAGAAGTTTGTGAATGTTGCAGATTCATGTCCTGTTCCAGTCACTCTTTTTCCTAAGCACTTATAAATCAAATTCAAATTATTAAAATTCTTCAGATATGTGATTCATCTTCCTTCTGTATCATGAACAGTTTATAAATAGCTTAGAAAAAAATTTTGACAATATTTAACTATTTGATTTATTTACTATTTTCTACTAGTTAATAATATTACAACATAAAAATATACCAATTTTATTCACAAAATAGACATAGCTATCATTTTAAATCGCATATTTTTTTTGCACTTACTATTCAAGGATGGCCAAAGGGTCAGCACCAGATCGGCAATGGCGATTCGTTCATTTCATGCACGAGCAGACGCGTGTGTGATCAGTCGGATTCGGAAGTTGGACATCTATGACACAACATGGTTGAAAGAAGTGCACACTCAACTTAATTATAAAGAAATAATACCTGTTTATTTATGTAAATTATTTACTCGTATACATAAGATAACAGAGTTCTATTATCGCGTCATAAACGGATAAAGCTTATGTAGAGTAATATACTGGATAAGGCTTTCTAGCGTAACATATTGGACTAACAGATTCCTAGCCGAGAGAGAGAGCTTACTTTATTATGCACGACGCTAAATACCTTGATCGATCGAATCGGCTTGATCAAAGTCTTGAGGTCACAAAACAGACTTGATGACTAGAATTAGGCTCCTTGATGACACAGTTCATGATCAAATGTTCATTTCTCTGGCATCTATGGCAAAGGGCAGTCGAAGGGATCAGCAATGGAACACTCATACAGAAAGGAAGAGGTCGACGAACTCTCAATTGTCAGTTCTAATATTCGTCTTTTATTTCAGGGGTCCTCCCTCTTGACTTCGATGCCCCTTTTAGGCAATGTAAAGTTTTTTAGACCAATAGATGGATTTCGGATGAAAGTTCTGGGTGACACATACATTCAAAAGATGTGTCAGATGTGTCACCTTTGGAAAAGAAGTATATCCGGGAAAAAATGCGATCACATCCTTCCATTTTTTATTAAGTGTTGGGGAAATTTTTCTTTATATAATATGTGAAATTTAAGCATTATTCTTAATTAATTTGATATAGTTTATTGTGGTTAAATAAAATTTCCATCTCATCCATGCTCTCACGCTATTATTTCCTTCACACGTATCTGTTTGGTGTCCATTTTAAATAAAATATTTAAATATTTATGAAAATTTTGATTTGAAAAATAAATTACAGATATTCCTTGCCCAACACAAAATTTGATTAACAGGCAATCCCTTTATATATGCGGCAGAAGCTTTAATTAATGCAGCTTTACCAGCCATCTTTACTTAACATAGATACCGTATTTGATTAATGCAATTTTTAAATACATGGTAGCTATGTTGAGGGATTAATTAACTGCATTAATCAAAGGATACCCGTATACTTACACTGGCAACTAATATCTTTCATTATAATTTGTGTATATAGTAATAAAATCTGAAAATAGCATTACTCTATATATTTTCCATTAAAGTTTGCTTGTTAAATAAATACAGTACATACCTACCACAGTTTATAGTATTCATTAATTTTACAGCATTTCCCTAATTTTTCAAAAATTCTTGATAGTAAACAATAGTGGCATACCCAGAGGGGAGCCAAGGGGCCCTAGCACCCCCTCAAAAAAAAACGAAAAAGAAAAAAAAAACACAAGTAATTTTCCTAATCAAAATTCATTTTTTTTTATTTATATTGTTTGATGTCTTCTATTTCTACATTACTTATAAATTAGCAACCACATAGAAAATTTTTATTGAATTTGCACTAAAAATTTCTTTTATCCATTTAACTTTGCTCCCACAAGATTAAATCCTGAGTGTGCCACTGGTAGGCAAGGTTACTATTTCAAGCTTTAAGGACTGGTTGTAGTTACTAATCAAAGGCAGTTTATTATTCAAATAAAACCAGGAACATATAGCGGACATACGTCATCAGAGAAGTACTTCCACCCTCGCCACATACACTGCTGAGTGGACATTGTGGCAGCCTTCCACCAGGCAAAACTCATACACATGACGTCACACAATTAGCACCTCATGTGGCTTGAGGCCATTCAAATTTACAAATTGACCCTCAATGACAACTGCATCAATTTTAAGGATGAGTTGGTTCTGTCTCTGGCCTGGCAGGCGTTGATGGATTCCAAACTTTAAGGTCACGATATGTCAACTAGTCAAACACATGCATCTCATGTAACACCTTATAATTGTTTCTCGAATTTCCTTCAATGATTTGCTCTGTCCCATCAG